AGCTCGTTTTGGCCAGGTGGAAGTCGTGCAATTGCTTCTGAGAACCGATGCAGCTCACAACGATGCTGTAAATCAAAATGGTGAAACAGCTTTGCATTTGGCCTCCCAGAGGGGCCATGCGGAAGTGGTACGGCAATTGCTGGAGAGTGGCTGCGACCGAGATGTTGCCACATACAATGGCCAAACAGCTTTGCGCGTGGCTGTTCGATTTGGCCACGTGGAAGTGGCCGAACTGTTAAAGAGTTGATGCTGACCATCAAAACCAGAAGGGAGTTCTTGCTAGTGCAGTGTTTGGGGCTGTGGTACCCTTACGCAATGTGGCAGGGCCACGTAAGGTTCAAGTATGAATAGGACTACTTTTAAAAGCAGCATAGTCATAGTTTGAGTTGGAGCTCAGTAATGTCGAAGGATTTCCAAAGATATGCACAGCAAGAACAGTGTGTGTGTGACAGCCATTTTTAAGCCTCTGGCTGTTCAGTCGGATACCCCCATACTTTCTGGCTGGAAAATGCAACCGCCACACTGAAGATGGCCCAACGATGAGGACCTGACAACATTCCCGGTCAAGTCCAGTTGAGGAATTGGCCTCCGCAGGTTGTCGGAATTTGTTCAAGCTGCTGACGGGAACCTCAAATCTTGTCCCATGCAGCAGAATCTGACCAATAAGGATCTCGCTCTGCTGGGCAATCTGCACCAGCTCCAAGAACCAGAATCTCAAAAGCCAACCTGTTGCCGCTGGCATACGGGGAAGTACAATATATATATATAGTATATATAATTAATATATATATATAATTATATATATATCCTTTTCTTTTTTTCGAAAGACCTTCAAAACGGGTTACCTGGTTACCCAGTCCAATTTTGAGGCGTGCGGTGTGCGGCATGTTTGCTACACCCAGCCAGGCGTTTGGACTTCTGTTGCGGTCTCCAGTCTGGTCGGAGGACCAGGGCGCGGTCGTTTGGGAGCCGTCGCGTGGGCGACCGCGATCGGGTTCAGTGAGCTGATGAAGAATGATGGATACCTGCGGAACTGTTGGGGATGGTGTGTAGCAGCTTTCTTTCGCTGTGGGCGAACCGGCACAGGTGCATGGGGGCTAGATAAGAATGACACGGAGGCCTTCAGTCCGACTTCGGGCCGCGCCGGGTTGGTGTGGCCGCGTCGTTATGCCGAAAGGGCGACCGTTTTGGCTCAAGACTCAGGGAGAAGTGCAGAGATGGCCACACTTCTTGCTATGTGCCTGGGCGAGTCTGATGGAGAGTGAGCAGTTGGTGACTGACTGGGTTTTCGATGGTTTAGAGGTCAGAGTCTAACTAGCTAACAAGAGGTTTATGGCATCGACTTGTTACCGGCTTTGGGTTGATGGTGCAGGCATGGTCCCTGATTTCCTGAATAGTCACCTATAGATCTACACAAAAAAAAATATCAAAAACATTCCCCCGTCACCATCTATCACCCAAATCAATATCCTCTTTCCTCTGGGTCTTTGGTCGCCGCACCCCACCGATCGGTCACCATCCCACCCGAGGCGCCCACAACTCTCCAAATCCACCCAGCGCAAGGCGAGTGGCGTGGGACCTGGGCGTGTCGGCGTTTGGGACGAGCGGAACGAACCGGAACGTTGGGCAAAGTCCTTTTGAAGCCAACTTGGAAGTTCTGAAATGTTCTGAAAGTACAGTGAGAAAAACCTATGAGATTTTGAGATTTTGGGGGTGCTTCTGTTTGTTTTGCCGAGAACATGGCGGATGGCCCTGAGCTGACCTGTTTGGGTCTGCGAAACCGCAGCAGTGAGGAAGCCCGCGGAGTGACTTGAAACATGCCTTTTAAGACACAAAGTGCAGTATTACAGTGCAGTCTATAGTGAGTGAATGAGTCAGTCAGTGAGTGAGGGAGGGAGTGAGTGAGTGAGTTAGTTAGTTTGTTACTGTAGTAAGTAAGCAAGTAAGTAAGTAAGTGAGTAAGTAGGTAAGTAAGTAAGCAAGCAAGGAAGCAAGTAACTAAGTAAGTTAGATAGTTAGTTATATAGATAAATTAGTAAGTAAGTTAGTTGGTTAGCTGGTTAGTTGGTTGGTTGGTTGGTTAGTTGGTTGGTTAGTTGGTTAGTTGGTTAGTTGGCTAGTTGGTTAGTTTGGTTTAGTTGGGTAGTTGGTTGGTTGGTCGGTTAGTTTGGTTAGTTCGTCAGTTTGTCAGTTCATCAGAGTTAGTCAGTTAGTCAGTTAGTCAGTTAGCGAGTTAGTGAGTGAGTGAGTGAGTGAGTTAGTTAGTTAGTTAGTTAAGTCATTGAGGTCAGCTAGATAGTCAAGCCGTTAGCTATCTCGAATCTCGATAGTTAAATTAGTACGATGAGTTAGTGAGTGAGCGAGTGAGCCAGTGAGTGAGTGAGTCAGTGAGTGAGTGAGTGAGTGAGTGAGTCAGTCAGTCAGTCAGTCAGCGAGCCATTGAGTAGTTGGTTAGTCAGTTGGCTGGTTAGTTGGTTGGTTGGTTCGTTGGTTGGTTGGTTGGTTAGTTAGTTTGTTTGTTTAGTTAGTTTAGTTTAGTTTAACATTTTTTTTTTAAAAGCATATTCTATTTAGTGTCTCTAAATAAGGCATCCATCATCCCCAACGCAACATGGGAGAGAGGGAATGCTGGGGTCGACACGGAGGTTGAGAACTCAGTCAATGAGACCCTCTTCCTTCGATGCAGTCGATGCGATATCAACGACCCCCTTCCTTCCGTCGCGACAGGACACGCTCCCAACAATCCGTGAAGATGAATGCGAGGATTTGGAGCAAGAGGCGTCCAAGGCACATGCCGGATACACATCTTATAGATCCTCATAGCGCCAGGAAATCAAGGGAACCTCATCCCGAGGTTAGTTGACAGATGGCGCTGGGCTGATGTAGCTTTTCAGGGTATGCCCACGAGGCCCCCTTTTCACTGTTCTTCGCATTCTTGCTGATTGCGATGCAATTGATTGGTTGGCCTTTCTCTTGCAACTGTCAACGACGATGTGTTGGTGAACTTCAAGTTCTTCCACTCCTAGTAGATTCTTTTCGCATGGCGGGATTGCTCGAGACATGTTGGTGTTTGGAGCGGCATGCAGTGGATCCCGGTCGATGAGACCCGACAACCAGTCGACGCAACGAAGCAAGCGAGAGTCGGACAGGTCCAGGAGAAGCTGAACAGGACCTTCGGGGATCTCACAGGTGTGGTTTTATCGGGGGGTTCACAGGGGTGATGCCTGAGATGAAGAACGGTCGTTGGGTTCGCAGGTTGATTCCCTTCTTCCTTTTTCCGGGTTCTTCTTTCGAAGCCCGAGGGGGATTGGTGGACTGATTGTGGGCACCCACGACCGGAAGTGAGAGAAACTCACGTCACACTCGCGGGACCGCGGGTCAAGGTGCGGGACGGGGTGATGTCTCATCCCCGGCTGAGTCCGTTGGCGGGAGCCTTTACCAGTGTGGTCGAGCGCCTCTAGTAATCAATCATCAATCTCAGAAAGTAGCGATCCTTTTGAGACCATCACCAGCTGGTCGAATTGGTCGCGAGAACTTCTGTTCATTTTGGCTACGTCAACCAGCAGCAGCAGAGGTTTGCATCATGGTCCTGTCGCCTCAGCCAAATTTCCAAGTCTTCATAGGTCTGACCGGAGGATTTCCAGTTGCCGAAGTCGTCCTCTCTGAAAGAGGACGCTGGGTGTTTGTCAAATAATCAAATACCTCAGACCTTCAGAGATCTACTGCTGGTCTTTGTGCTCTACTGGTCTTCTGCTCCAAAATGGAAGGTCTGTCGCCAGTAGAGCACAAGTAGAGCTGTCTCAGACGACGCCCCAGAGGCGATGTGTCCCCCGAGCTGGTCGAAGAGATGATCAGCTTCTTGCAGGAGACCACCGGTGACGACCGGACGTTTGGTTGGGGGAGTTGGAGTCGTTGATGGTTCTTAGGAACTGCTTAGTACAGTTTGCTTTCTTTTTTGGGTCAATTCTAGATTCTGAATGGCTTAAGGCGATGCAGCCTACACGTGGTCGGCATCATGACTGGACAACCTCCTCAGAACGATCTTCCAAACATCCAAATCCACCATCACCCACTCCCTGCTTACCATGTCCCCAGTCACAGCCTCCTCCCGCGGCTCTCTCTCGTTTTTCCTTCCCTCCATTCGCCTCCCTCCGTCAGGCGGCTCCACAGCTGGACCGTACGAAGGCTCTGCAGTTCCTAGCGCCAAGGCTTCGATCCTTAGCGCAGAGCCACGGCCTCAGAGGAGTTCCGAAGCGAAGCGCTAGCGCCAAGGCTTCGATTGAAAAGCCCACCTTTTTGGGACCGAGAGAGGGAGAAGTCATTTTCTTGAGGCCTGGAATGCGGTTAAGCATTCTTTCTTGTCCTCACGAGTTTCTGCATGAAATGCTGACCTTTGGAATTGTACCAAATTTACGCAGTGACTAACAGAAATGCCATCGACCCCACTGGATTGCAAAGGTGAAGCTGGCTCCCGCATTGCGCGGTGTGCCATTGACGTGGCCACGAGCCGCGCTGCTTGGCCGAGCACAGCAGAGAGATGTGGGGTGCAAGACGTGTGCTGGATGATCGAATACATCAAGAGACCAATGAAAATAGTAAGCAAGATGACACACATATATATATATATATCGATGAATATGAACACTTAAGACCACTCTAGCACAGAACCCAACACATCGTTTTGTCGGACTATTAGCGCCTTCTTCCTTCCGAATGGTGTACTGACTGGGAGGCACTGAAGAACTAGACCTTCCTGCAGCCAAATCCAGCTTCCTCATGGATGGGTGGGGGAGTAAAGAAACAATTACAAGGAGTCTGGCCACCTCACCCCCCAAAAGGACCTACATTTGGTCTCGTGTGCTCAGCTATCAGTTGGCTATCTCACAGAACACATGCAAACTCGTCACCTGTCGAGAGGAAGGGCTCTTGATTTCCCCCTCTTTATATCTCAATGCAATCCCTCTTCTCCAACTTGGAATCCAACTCCAAACACCCTGCATATGGGGTCTTTTTCCACGAACTCCAGGTTCTCCACGGGCCTTGCAAGAGACCCAGGGGTCCAACACCCCGGGTCCAACACCGGTCGACGTCCGCGGCTTCTTCCAAGGACAGGGCCACTGTCCTGTCGGCCTTTCAAGGCTCCGTGATGGAGCTGTGCAAGTCGGGCCCAGGTCCCTCCGTCGCTGCGACCGGCTGGAACCGGTCGAACGGGGGCCGGTGGCCGGGCCAAGGGCCGCCATCGATCCTCGTTGTGGGTGGTATGGATCGTGTCACTTGCCCCAGAGTGTATCGACCCTCTCTCCGCAGGCCACGAAATCCTGGTCCTACTGATCGACTGCATTCCGGTGTTCTCGCTGAATTTCATGATCTGCGAGTGCATTGCTCATTGTGTACCTTGGAGTCGTTGAGTTTGGAGGATTGGCCGACCCCCCGTCCTAAATGCTCAGGACGCTTTTTTTTTTCCGGGTGCCATGAGAGGATGTTCACGGTTTCTGTGACATTTGGATGCAGAGATGCAAGATGGACATGAGAAACGCAACTGTGGCAACTGACGATGGACCAGAACGGATGTATCTGATGGGTACATCCCTGACTCATCGATCAGACGTTTGGTCAGTCAACCAGCCGATCCTGATCCCGAAAGCAGATCGGTGATGAGCGGACTGGCCAAGCACAACACCCTTGCCATAAGGTGTGAACAGTAGTTCTACCATATAAGCTGCGCTATAATAAGCGCGCCTCAAGCCTAAGTCTCTGTGATGAGAAGGTTCTACTGGTTCCCACTTGGAAGACGCAAGGCAATTCACTCCCAGAGGAACTCTGGCTGAGGAGTAGGGAAAGAGAGTGGAGCCATGAAGCCGCCAACAATCCGATCAGGAAGCCTGGTCAGAATCCAAGCTGGGCTTCTGACTCTGCATCCCCAAATTCCGCTGTCATGGATCAGCTGGGCCATGGTATACTCAGCGACTGCCATGGTATGCTACAGGGTCAGCGATGCATCCCAGATTCGGGGACTCTGGAACCTGTGAATGGCGCTCAGATTTCGGGCGCAGCCTAGCTCTTGCGGCAGATACCGCACATCACGTTCTTCTTGACAATCTCTTTTTTGAGGCCAGTTACTGGGAGCAGACCTTGACAAGGAGCTTTCAACATGATTAGAGAGTGAATCGTCAGCACTTCCCGTTTCCCGCACGGATTTCGCATCCTTCATCAAAGCTTGCCACAACGGGCCGAGGGTCTGACGGCTTAGGGCTGTGTGTCTCGCTGTTTCGTCCAAGGAGGAATTGGCCCTCCACAGATATGGCTCAAATGTCATTGAGAGACTTGGATGGCAGATGCACGGCAACTGTTGGGAGTTTCTGCAGCAAAACGAGCCGGTCTCTCTTCAGTGAGCCAAGTCAACACATGTATTTGATCTATGCTTTGTTTTGTTTGGACATTTTCCCACTTTTTTTGGACTTGGGCTGCCTTTTTCAGCTTCCAAAGCTCCGGTTTCCTTGATCCGTCCACCCTCTCCACCCGCTCCGGGTGGAGCTCCCCACCCTCTCACGACCCGGGTCACCGGCGCCACGGTGGCGCCGGTGCCGGTCCGTCCGTCCGTCCGTCGGTGCGAGGTCCATCCTCTTGCACTTCCACCCTGGGCAACTCAGTGAGTTCTTCATGAAGCTTTTGGAGGCGAGCTGCGGTCTTCGGTCCGCTTTTTTTGTTCGGTCGGCCTTTTTCGGACGAGCTGTGGCAGTAAGACAAGCGGATTGGCCTTCCTTTTGTAGGGCGCAAGAGCTGGGTGTAGGGCCTTGGGTGGGCAGGATGAGGAGCACACCTGAGGTGAAGGGTCCTTCATTACGACTGAAGTGTAGAATGCTCAGAGAAAAGACTCGAGCTATCAATTCGCCATCAAAGTAGCTTGGAGGCCATCGGTCGTCGTCGGCCACCGTCCGACGTCCGGCGGTCGGCCAGGCGTCCCCTCGACTCACGCGATCACCCTACGGCAGCCGTGTGCTGCAGACCCTGAGCGAGCGACATGGTGGATGATGGTGGGTGCCACGTGGCAGGTGGCTGTGAGATGTTTTCATAAGAAATCTAGACAAGTGGTCATGGTTGTATCTTCTTCAACGAATTGCATGGTCGGCAGAAGCTGGATGAAAGAGGAAGCGATATATCCAAGGCTAGGATTTATTGTTTATTTTTTCTCCTGTTGCCAAAGACCTGTTATATAGTTTATTTGTGATGAGATCACGAATCTCCAAGAGGATGTGAAAGACATTTTCCAGCACTGTACAAGAACATGGTACTTGGCCCAATTAAAGAAATCCCTGCGATCACACCTGCACCCATGCGTCAACCCCCCCTAAGCTGATGGACCTCGCAACAACCCACAACCCCCAATCTGGGCCAACCCGGCACCAACATCCATCTACACTCCTGGACCGGATTGGACTGCAGAGGATTGTCTGGAGTCCTGAGTTGTGCTTAAGAATGCTTCCGGGGTTTTGAGTCTTGATCTTCCTTTCTCTTTTTGGAAGGGACCGAGATGGGAACCTTTGGGGCACCGAGATTGGATCGAAGGCCTTCGGTGTCGCCCTTCTGACCCCGAAGGCCCCGACCGTCGACCCAGGTATGGTGGGACGAGCTGTCGAGAGCTCTTGATCCGGCAAATCTCGCCCGAAGCGGCGCAGCTGGCGTTGCTTGGGCGCAGCTGGCGTGTGTGAAGTCGAAGTCGGGTAGAGCTGACAGGTTCGTCGGAGTGAAAACCCGAAACAGCCCGCCGGGGAAGGACCCATCACGCCATGCAGTTTAGAAAGTGATTGCCAGGGGCAACGCACCCTGCCACACACCGAGCGCACTGGACGACCTCGTTCGAAACCGCCTGAGGATGCATCGCACAGCGTCTCAAGTGATTCGAAAGTTGCTTGAACTTGGTGATGCAACTGGACAGTTTCTCGTCACCGACATGGAGCGTTCGACATGCACCGACGACATGATTTCACTCGAGCGTGAGTCACGGGTCTGGTCAACCAAAAGCGGCGAACATTGGGGTGTTTCTTTGCGTGTGCTTGAGATGACATACTCTATAGGAATCCGAGGTGCCAATCTTGCTGGACGTATATTCAGCAATACAAAGCACATCTAAACAAGGCCACTGTCAACCGAACCCCCAAAAAGAAGCATCTCCACTCTCCATTCTTCAATATCTTGGGTGACTTGGATCCTCATTTGTGGATGAAGGGCGGCTGACACATCCTTCAGTCAGTTGCTCCTCCTCCCTCTCACGTCTCACCTCCCATCTCTCATATGACTCATATCTCTCATATCTTCACACACACCAAGATCTTACCTAGCTAGCGCTTCCTTCCCTGTCTGGAGACCTACAAGTAGGGTAGGAGGGTAGTCTATTTGGACCCCCAGACTGCCGTTGGACCACGCCGCGGAGCCCCGAGGCAGCTCCTCGCCGCAGCGCTGCTCGAGGCCGTCCGGAGGAACTCGGTGCAGGCGCATTGCGGCTGGTTGCGGCGACCGATGGGCGACCGTTGGAGGGAACGGGTGGCCGGTGATTGTGTCGTCTGTTGTTTTCAATTATTATATATAATAGATCTTTTTCTGTTAGTTCGAGTTGTGAGTTCGAAGACCAGACGTTTTAAGCCAAATGAACGTGTTTATTTTTTTCCCCTTGGTGAGTCGGGGAGAGATGGTGTGGTATGGTGTGCTCAATATGGTGGAATGGCGGCAAGAAGATGGAAGGAGGCAGTTTTGAGAGTTGACGGGGTGGGAGGGGTTCGGAAGGGAGATGTCGGGGGTGGGAGTGCGCTGGAAAGTAAGATAGGGGTACTCTCCTGTTTACCGCTACAAGAATGCTACAAGTCAAAAGCTCGAACACCAACATTATATGGTATGCAGAGCAATCTCCACCACAATGTGCGTGAAATTGCTGTGCCAGAAGCTTCGGCTGGAAGTTCCATTGACATAGCATTAAAACCAGCTACTTTTAGGATTGGAACCAGTACATCCAGTAAGTGGATGTATATAAGTGGGGCAACTGAGTCCAGTTTCCTTCCACCAAGCAGAGTCCTTTCGACGCATCGTTCGACGCCTTCACGTTCGACGGACCCCTTTGTGTTCACACCGAGTTTCGGGGACTCGCCACACTCGTCGTCTCTCCGGTCGCCCCCCAAAAAAACCACAGCTCCGTGGCAGTGCCCCTTTTAGGGGCATTGGATTGGATACCCTGCAGGTCGTCAACATCGCATGTAGCCGTAGTGGTAGTGCTGTGCCTTGGATGCATTTCGCAGCCGCAGAGCCGCGCAGAGATTCGCAGCCGTGGAGCAGGGTGACCCGGGTCAGCTGGCGAAGTTGGGTTGACCCACACGAATTGGCCTTTCAGCTGCACGCCGTGGTCGATTGGACGTTTGTGGAGGGGGGTGCATCGACACGCAACAGCAGTGACCCCGCTTCTATTTCTCGGCATCTCCAAATCTCCAGAAACGCCTTGAAACACCGTTTCCCTCCAGTCAAGTCCGAAAAACGCACGCCGAGCACCGGGGATGAAACACTCCCACCGACCATTCACCGGACGCACGTTGGTTCCGGTGGCCGAGCCGCTCGGCACGCCCGAAGCGCAGCGCAAGCAGGCGATCCGCAGGCGATCCGCAGCGATCCGCTCAGCCCGCGAAGCAGGTGCTCCAGCAGATCTCGGCCATGGAGGTGCCCGAGGCGGAAGAACTTCAATCGCGGCTCACCGAGGTCGCGGTTCCCGCGGACCGCGAAACGGGACGCGAGCGGTTCCCGCGGTTCCCGCGGATCCGGGGAACGAAGTAGGTCACCAGATGCTGACAGAGACAGTTGAGCGAAGAGGGTCGAATTCCAAGAGCTATCCAGTTCAATGAGGTGAGATTGAGAAGTTTGTGGAGAGTGGAGTAGGAAAAAAGGGCCATGTGTCAGTTTGTCTATCCTTACTATAAGTCTTTTGGTGGACCTTTGAGATCACTTTTCAACCGTGCCTGAAGTTCGGCTGAAGCAGAATGTATGCTACATGAACAAAACCCATGGTCCAGCCGGTTTCTGTTCCAACTGCTCCGCAGGCCTTACCTGTCTTAGAGAAGTCGCGCTATGGCCGACGGCTTGTGCGCGCCTGATGCGGCGCCTGTTCGTCGCTTGCCACCCCATTGTGGGGACCTCAGGAGGCTTTTGAACCATGCGGCGGTTTCAGTGATCTGGAAGACAGGCTTCGGGAATTAACCATGCAAAGCCCTGTAACGTAGATAGTTGATGAACAACGCCCCCCTTCTCCAGCCTGGAGATGTAACACCGGTAGGGAAGGCTTGAGGACCCCGACTTTTTCAGTGTGGCCTTTCGTGCACCCGACCGAGGTTTGGGTTTGTTCACCTCTCGTTGGCATGGTTTGTTCGCCTCTCTCGGTATCTCAGTGACCTGGGTATACTGATTCTGTTGATTCTGTTGATGAATCAAGCGATCCATCGCCCACATGGAGAGGATGGATCCAAGGATCGGAGGGTTGGAGCCCGGTGGAGATGCTTCGGACCGGCGCCTGATCGGCACGGTCTCGGCGGTTTGTTTCGGGCGTCTTGGTTGAGATCAGGTCAGCCACGGTCTTCATCAAGTCAGACAAGTCACTCAGATAGTTTAAAGCCAATAGGTATAGGCTATTGGGGATCACAGAAACACATGGACAAATTGCTAGTTCTTTGTTTTTTTCACCCACACACACAGAGCCTGCGGATTCAGTGTTGAGCTAGCTTGCTCCAGAAATCTAATCTAATCGGTGCAGATCATTCCAAGCTCTGACTCTCTGCGGTAGCTCCAGAAATCTCAGCCCCGCCTGGTGAAGGTACAGCGATGGCCTCCAACCTAATAACGATGGCCTCCACCCTAGTAGCGATGGCGGCCTCCAACCTAAGAGCGATGGCCTCCAACCTAAGAGCGATGGCCTCCTGGTGAAGGTACAGCATCAACTTTGGAGCCGCAATGTGTGGCTCGGAGAGATGTGGGCATGACCAGCGGAAAGATGTATGTTTTTGTGAAACATTGGGACTGCCTCCCAAACCCCACTTTGCAACGAAATGACTACAACCTCGGGAAACATTTGTTATGGACATGGGGCAACTTGACGAAGCTGGATGTTGGGAAGGGTTGGAAGATCCACCGGTTTTTAAATTTGTTGGTATGTACTTCATTGCTGGGAACTTCAATGAATCAACAAATCTGCGGAGTTTGCTTGAAAATTGCCTTTCACAACCAAATTGTATAAAATATGTTCGCATTTGTCAAGCCATCCTTTCAACGCACCATACTTCTTTGCATCTTTGCTTTTTTCTCGCAGCCCAGGGCCATCTTTCCTTCATGCTCACATGCTAGGGGTTGGCAAAGTGTTGCTTCCGAGTCACCTCCCAGGTTGTCGTCTTTACTTGATGTCCTTGCCGCAGTCATCATTCGTTGGATTTTGCATTTCGAGAAGAATACCACGGGTGCGGGTGCGGGAATAGCGAGAAGCCTCGGCCAACGGTCGAATGACTTTGCATTGGTTCAGGTTAAGTTAAAGCGGTGCCTTTGGTGACCCCGCAAAACAACACCGGCCAAAGCCCACTTCTAAATTCCACAAAGTGAACAGTCACTGATCCCCCAAAACAGGTTCCATAAAGGTACAGCCAGACCAAGCACGGATGCAACCAGAGGTGTTACTTTTGCTATTCACACTCCCACAGGAGAGGGGCCCTGGCCACCAATGATTGATAGGCCCCGTAATAGGCCTTACGCCTATGACATGCTGCAGGACTTCCCAATCTTGACAGTCCCTCGTTCTGAAAATGGCTCCAGCCTTCATGCTTGTCACATCTTCCAAGTCAAGGTGATTTGAGTACCAAAGGCTCGGATGTCGCCGCTTCGAACTGGCGCCGCTCTATCTCGGATCGTTGTACACGGTACCAAAGTCTCCGGGGAGTGGGACATTTGAGGGGCCAACTTCCATTTCCTGATAGAGTAAATCATTGTGCCGTTCAGAATATGAAGATCCCCTAAAGCTGAAGCACCATGTTACTTCTCGGCCAACTCCCGGTGCAGAAGATCACTCTTCTTCGTGAACGTCGTCGCTCGTCGCTCGCCTTCGTGTTCCCGTCGTTCGTGTCCCACCCGTGCTTCGGATCCGAACGACGCCGATCGCCGGGGTCGGAGCGGACGAAGCGACGAGCACGCGCCGGCGATCACGGCGATCACGGCGCAAGCGAGTGACAAACCGGAGGTGTTGGTAGAGACAACCGTCGGTGGTGGAGATGTCCTTCATTTCCAGCCCTCGTCTTCCTGAAAGGTCCGAAACCGAGCGAAGGGCTCATTCGTGGCGAGGCAGCGCAATCGCCAGGTCGGTCGACCGCGTGATGGCCTTGCCTCACTAGCCTTGAGATGGAGGGCCTGTCTACAGCGCCCTCCCAGGGTGGAAAAATGGCGCAAGACATCTTCCTTATTCGTTTTTTTTCAAGGCGTTTTCAATACCCATGTCATACTTCAGACAAGCATGAGCGATGAGGACCTAGCAGTTTTGCTTCAAAAAGATGGTATATAAGCGTTTCAATTGAAGCAGCTGACTTTTTTCTTGCACCATCACATATTGAAATAGTAAGGCCCTTGCAACCCTGAAGTCCAAGACAAGCAGGAAGCCTAGCAGCCTCTCTTCCAACGCCTACGTCAGGGTTGCAGGGACTCTTGTCCAAATATCTCCAACGCCGTAGCGGCGGCCCTAGCCTACGGCGGTGGCGTGGGCTCCGCAAGGGGCGGTGTACAGACCTTTGTTGCAACAACCGATCTCTCCAATCCTGTCTCACGATGTCTGGGGACAGCCCCTCAGACTCATCTCTTTTCTGGGAGCGCATCGACTGCCCCGCACTTTCGCCTCGCCGCGGAACGAGTGCCAGCGCGGGAGCATGGGTGGGTCCCCCAATTTTGAGGTCCCGCACATTCCGCCTTGTTGTGTCGGGGGGTCTTACGACTGTGCTGGAGAGCTCTCACCCTGGCAGAACGATGGACCTTGAAGTCTGTTTAAATTCGCCATTTTCTTGATTCCAGTGAAAGCTACAGCTGAGACTCAGTCTGAAAAGCGGTCCGAAGCACGGTCGAAGCACGTTTTCAGGCGGGTCCGGTTCATCCAAGGCGTTTGAGGCCATCCCCGCCTGCGGGAGTGGGGGTGGCAAGCGAGCTGGGTGAGTGTCTCTTTTCGGAGTCTGGTTCAAAGGCCCCGTAGACTCGGCGAAATGTGGCGTCCAACGTGGAACCACACCCCCGGCCGGGCACTGAACTGCCGAGAGGACTGGATTCATTGAAGACTTCAAGATACTGACGGCAGGGTCCAGGGTTTGAGAAGTTTTTTGTGAACTTCAAGGATGTCAATGAACCCAGTTCCAGCTGCAGTAGGAGCTTTCTAACTTGGAGAGCTCCAGATCTCACCCAGACGTTCTGCCAGATGAGTGCGCAGGGAGAGCCTGTGGCATCTCACTCGGTGTCTGGAGGCATGTTCAGTGTTTCGACTGCTGGGGTGATTGGGATGTACAGAAGGGCACAGAGGTCCGGCGGCCATGGTCTCGGCAAGGAGGCAGGCGTGCTCAGATGGTGACCTGCGAGTTTCGAAGGATGTATTCTTGAAGTGACACGTTAGCTTGCACTTGTAAAGGTGAAGGTGCATGAGGAAGCCTCCCTTTCAGAGACCTTGGAAGGACTCTCAACCAATGGGTGGCAGGCCGTGTGTACAGTGTTCCCTGCTTGCGAGAGGTTTTTGCAATGCTCTAAAGTGCCTTTTGATGGTGTCGCTTTGTGATGTTTCTTTGCGAGCAAAGGGGACAGGCGTGGTGGCTCACAACTTGGTTCAGGGTCATTGATTCTGGATTTGCTCCAGGCGGGGCCTGTCTGTGGAACCAGAGTTTGCATGTTTCCTATCCCATAGTCCTAATCTAAAGCGGCCACCTTTGCACCCAGTGGCCACCTTTGCACCCAGTGTATGCTTGTAGGCCAAGACCTTGTTTGTCGGCTCTTCTCTAAATCCGTTGGTCATAGTATACAATACAGTTCCTCCGCTAATGGCTTTCACATAAACTTGATTCCCAAGAATCTGAAGATCACTACGCCCAAGTGATGGGCTTGAGCCGGGTGCAGAACCGGTTCATGGTGAACATGAAGACATCCTCAGAACTGCTTGGGCCTTCCCCAAAGTTTGAATGTCATGGGAGCTTGTTAATTCGTTGTCACGAATCTCTTGAGGCCTTGGGCCAGGCAGGGAAGAGGTGCGCACCACGCGGTGCGGTGAGCCATGCGGTGGGTGGGCCATGCGGTGGCTTCTTCGTTAGCCCTGTGGGCCTCCATCCTTTTCTGATAACACCGGCTTGTCTACTTTCTAGGACCGCCTCCACTGCTGTTGTGCTGACAGGCTTCATACAGTGCTGGTTGGGGCAGGACGACAAAAGATCTCGACCAGGGGTGGGCATCCAAAAGGGTGGCACTGCTACTTTTCGTGAAGAAGCGTGTTGGTATGCACCAGGCTAATCGCAAGACTTACAAGCTTGCTGGCAATGTTGTGGCCGCCAAATGAATTTGACCATAGCTGTGGTGTGATTTCTTTTTGGCACTGCAGAAGTTTGCCAAGAGCTCTCTTGTTGTTCGCAGATTGCTGCCCAACTCGACGGTATTTCTTGGCGCATAAGACGCTGTCGTAGTATGAGAAGTTCAGCGAGGCCCTCTCCAACTCCATGAAAACATGAAAAGCGATTTGGGGCTGGACCCCACTTTACAGGACGTTGGGCTAGAAGCGATCTTCAAGAAGAGGCTGACTGGCGGTGGAAAGAGTGGTGTCCCGAACGCCGGGATGTGGGCACTACACCTTGTTCCTCACCAGCAACATGGTTTGGTCATGCACATGATGAAGAAGGAACCTGGTGATGAAAGTTAAAGACTTTGCGCTGCGGATGATGAAGAGCTTCAGCGATTTGCAAGAACCTTCCGACAAGTTCATGATTTGTTTTTGGCTTGATGAGCGGAGACTTGGCGTGATTGGCGTTTGCGAGCTGCATCCAGTCCAAGAGGAACAGCGTGATACGCTGAGGGGTGTCATGTAATCTTGAAGTTGCCCCCGCGTTCTCCATGGCGCTTGTGGGGGAAACCAAGTCTTCGACCCGGGCTCAGACCAGCCTGTTGCTCTTCGGCAGCGTTTCGATCGCATCGGCGGCTCCACCCCCACGGCGAGATTTCCATGAGGGCAGCAAGACCTGCCCCCCGAGTTTTATGAGAGTTGGTTTGCTTCCCAGATGCTGGTGCCGATCCTCATCGGCTTCACTCCCTACGCATCACCAAAAGTGCTGAAGAGAAACTGGTTTGGAGCTCTATCCAAGTCTCAATATGAACCAGTTCGAGAATGAGTCAGTTGAAATTTATGGACATGACAGTCCCAGCAAATTCAACGAGCAAATCCAAGATTCCCAAGTCAGCACCTTTCAGGTTGGACCGCTCACCACCAGGAAGTGGATCTTCGGGGCATTCTCAAGACTCATGGCCTCGGCTATGTTTCAAGGGCCCCAAAACCTTGGAATCAATCGGGTTGGAGACTTTGGCCTTGAAGGGCTTCCCCCAGGTGCCAAATAACAAACATCAACGACGAATTAAGAATTTCTACCAGTGTTCCGTTGGAAACTTTTACGGTGGTTCATTCTTGTCAATTCGCACTTGCCCGCCTCCGAGAAATCCAAATTACCCACTCGTTTCTGAATCTTTCAAGTGACGGCGCAGAGTGACTTTGTTCGGCGCCAACATCGGCGGAAGTCTATGGAGCGGACCACGTGCAAAAAAGGGCTCCCGCACTGTGCGCCTCACCGTTTCATGCATGCGGAACACAACTGGTCGGGAGGGGGGCTTTGTCAGCGCGCAAGTCTGCCCAGTAAATTGTCCCCCACACCTCTCTTGGTCGACCAGAAGGGGGTGTTTTTGTTTTTTTTTACTCCTTTTCCACTCGGCCCAGCCTTCGTTGCTTCCACTGACCACACGACACTTGCCCATCCTGCAAGGAAAGCGGCGGAAGAGCACTTCTGCCTTTCCGACGCCCGGGTGAGCGGTTCCGGGGCTTCTGCCGTGCTCTCGACGTGCAGCGCACCCGCCAATCTGAAAAGAGACCTCCAGGGCTCGGAGGGCTTGGGAGGAGTGGATTGGCCCACTGTGACATGTCTGGGGTGGTGGAAAACCCACCTCATTCGAGAACAGCAGTCGGTTTTTAAGGGTTTTTTTCACACGCGATGGCATTTTCTAGGGTGTTTAAAGCGGTTCTTCGTTGAACCGCGTGCTTTTGCATGGGATTGGCAGGCGGCCCGCAAAGAGGGCGAGCCTGACATGCCCTGAACCGTGTGGAGCGACACGGTCGGAGCAAACGTCACAAAGGCCTGAGGTTTGGGATGGGCCAGGAAGGGTCAGCTGCGGATGTAAGATTCTTGCAATACTTTTTGGTTTGGTGGTTGTTTCTTGGTTTGGAAAAAAACCTGGAGGCCAAACGGCGAAATACATCTCAAGAGATTCTGAGTTGGGGACCTGCACATTTGAGGACCCGAGGACAAATATTTTGTATGAAACTTCCACTTATTTTTTACATGAATCATGAAGAATGTACAGCTTGGATAGACCATCTTCCTCTACTAAAGAATTGCTGTAATGCCAACGTTGGATTAATCAACCCCCCCTTCAAGGTCAACAAGGTCAACAAGGTGGTTTGAGATTAGAGGTATTGGAGGACCACTTATAAAGATGATGACCTGATGATGGATGATGAGATGATGACCTGGACTCAATCATGGATGATGGTTGATGGTTGATGGATGACCTAAGATATTGGATACTGCCCAAATTGAACATAACAAATAAACACAATTTGAATATGGTGCAGCTGGGCTTGATTAATAGGGGGGGTTCTGACCAGGAAACACATATTAGGGGGGTGTCAAGGTGGAAATTCAGTTTGTTTATTAGTTTAGTATTGGGGGCTCGAGCTTCGCTTGATCAATATGGGGGGTTCATTCATCCTAGGTGCGCACTAAAGGGGACCTTTTTGATAAATTGTTTCTGCATTTCATTCTTCAGTTGACTGGTTGACGTTCATAGCTTCGCTTTGTCTAGAGCATGTCATGTTCGGACCCTTCTCCCCTTGAGAAGTTGGACTTGAAGAGTTGGCGTCCGATGTCCAGATTCCCACAGGGCGTCCACCGGCCAAGCGCCAGTCGGACTGGATCGCCCGCCGACCCGGTTTCGCCTGTCGATCGAAGAACGAAGCGCCAGGCCGGTGTTTCACCGCGCGGTCCACCGCGTGGCAGACGGAGTGGCAGCGTGATCCGGCGGCCAAAAGCGGGTGGTGGAGCTTGGGTGAGAAGTCGGGCAGAATAGACCAAGAGATAACAAGTAAGACAGATAAGCAAGTTCAGCAGTGTAGTCACGCTAAAAGGGTCGAACATGGAACAATGCTGAAGATAGAACAATCCAAACCCTATGCATATTCGCATCCCAAACTCGTTCTTGAGGGCAGGGACATGCATTTCCCTCTATGTCCGCCGGAGTGTGGCAGACCCATTTAAGCCAGTAGCAACACAGGCCGATGCAGCAAGGGTGGAAGGGCTCATGTGATGCAACACTTCTTCGAGGAGAAAGATGGCAAGCAGGGGTTCTAATTCCGAAACCCATGAAAGACTACTCTACTTGAATGTTGGGGTGCAAACAGAAGCTTCTTTTGAAGAGAGGGCTACTCAGGAGAGAATGAGCTGACAGAACCACAATGCTGAGAGAACCACAAGCATTCCTACACAGCTTTGGCTGTGGCTCATGTCCTTACAACCATTGGGACCGGCCCAAACCGCCTGGTCGTCCCGTCGCCGCGGGACCGGTCGTCCCGAACGGACCGACCCGTTCCGTTTCTCGGCTCGCAGCGGTTTGTCGTTGAAGTTCACCTTTTCGGAACACCGGAAGATGGTGCGGGGTCCCAGAAAGGGGGGGGGAAACGGGGACCAGGGTGACGTGGTGAAAGAAAAGGATATCGGTATCAAAATGCTATTATTTGATATTATTTGTTGATCTTGTGATCACAATATTGTTTGCAGGACTTCCTACTATCCAACTGGATGATCTCTTGTGAACTGGAGGAGCTCAGGTGCCATGACCCTGTGAAAGCCATGGCTTCCGAAGTTATGGCGAGATTGAGTTTGGCCTACAAAGCCAATGCTCATGGAGTGAGAGCCCAACACTTTCAGCCCATGAGTTCTCTTCACTCGGATTGCGTCCGGGTCCGGCCGTTCATGGCGATGGTCCGGGCACTTGTCAGCTCCGCTCGGACCGAGACCGGGTCGACGCGGGAGCGATGGTCGCCCAGGTGAACGGGCTTCTGTCCGACATCTCCTTCCAGCAGATTGGCGGCCGATGCAAGATAGCCACCCGGATGCATCCGGATTCGCATGGGAGGGCCCAATGGATGATGGGGGCGTGCGTACGTGAGTTTCTGAACACAATGGAGTGCCCAATGAATCGGGGTTCTATTTTATCATTCGGGGGTCTTCAGGGGTTTTCCAACCCGGAAGAAGATTAGGGCAAATCTTGGGAGGTTGCCAGTGGCTCAGCCAAGACAAAGGGACCTGAACAGGATGAGTGAGGCTTTGAGAAAGGGGCCCGTGAGTTGGTCGCTTGAGTGACCCTTGCCAAAGACTTGATCAGGCCATTTCTTGGGCCACAGACTCCTTGAACCAGCATGGAGCAAGCCGAGCAAGTACGTATACCAAGTCCCGTACTGACCCAGTGCTTTGGCCCACCAAGTGCTTCGCAAGTCCGGGAAAGTGCAATTGCCGTAGACGCCCTGGTTTTGGTGAGTTCGTTTTTGCCGACCAACACTGGGGGGTGCGCAGCCGAGAGCGCTCAGAGTGAGTGACATGCGGCTGGCAAGATAGAAGTGACATTCTGCGGGTGGGAAAACCCTAGCACCATGATTTCAGATTTCTTTGTTTTTGTAAATATTGGCCATCTTGGGAATGTTCCTTGCATTGTTTTGTTCAGTCAGTGATCAACTTTGGATTCATTTTCTCCTTGTGTTTTTCCTTTTTGCTGACCAACATTTGTGGTTTGCTTTATATAATGAGCCAGATCAAGGCGCAACCCATGTCAGCCCAGGTTTACAAGGATGACATCGTGAGCTGTTTGCGAGGCAAGCGGGTGAGCGACGTGGGTGGCTTGCGAGCGGGCGAACGAGTGACATGTTTCAGCTCAGGACTACTGATCACAGGCTGAGTCTGACTAAGTCACGCAGGGAGCCACTTGGTGTTCCATCACAGGTTGTCAACCGTGTTCCGATGCCAGGCATGTGGAAGCAACCTGCGCAACCTGTCCTTGTGCATCCATGGTGATCCCAGTTTTTCCATGCAAGTCTTCAGACTAGTGAAATGGTGGGAGGAAAATACGGGGGGAATCTTTGTGAAAAGAGAAGGGTTCTGAGATGACGATCGTCGGTAGAGGTCCCCGACTAGATAGACAGAATTTCCATGGATTCCCACACATTCTTGGACGGGATGTACTTTTCTATTGATCATAGGGTCACCGGATGCTACTAGTTACTAGGAGCAAGAAGCTACTAGGGGCTCCTGGCCGTACTACTAGGAACAAGGACGCTACTAGGGGCTCCTGGCATCGCTACTAGTAACAAGAAGCTACGAACGGAGCAAGGGGCATCGCTACGAACGTGTAGGGTCACCGGATGCCTTCTTGGCAAACATACTACTGTTGGCGCGAGTTGGCGGTGTAGCGGAGTTTTCTGGACAGCGGTGTAGTACCGTGACCGAGTCGGCGTGCGCAGGAGATATTGTGGTTTCAGAGCGCTTCCAAGCTCTAAAGAAGAAAAGGTTTGAGAAGGAAGAGCAAGAAGCGAAACAGTGGCCAGGTTGCATTATGGTTTCGAGTGCGGCCCCCATGGCCCAAGAATGGCCCCCATATGCCCCCCATGGCCCAGAAAACCATGAGCTTGGTAGATTGAAATCCACCCCAAAAGCTTGGTCCTTGGCCTGGAGAATTCAGAGATGGTTTCTGGCCCCAAAGATATAGGTGTTGGAATAAAGTTGCTGAAACTGTTTGGACCACCCCCCTCCGGATTTTTCATCCGTCGCCTTGGGATCGGCGAGGATCGGGATCCGCAGGCCTTGTGCCGCAAGCTTGCGTCAAATAGAGCAACTTAGGACGAGGGTTCTTCACGGCCATGACGAAAGGTGGTGTCGCAGGGGTGTCCGAACTGACGCTTGCCGCTGTGCTGGGCAAAGAGGCATGCGCAACAACGCCTTCAACGTGACAGGTTCGGGGAGAGCGAGAGAGAACGTGAGAGAGAGAGAGGACCTGGCAACTTTGGCGGCTGGCAGAGAAGTGACCTAAGAGGGATGATATGGGTATGGCATGGTATGATATGATTGGAAATTGGAGGATCCCTGTCCCAACATTCTACGTGAGACCTAGGATTGCTAGCCAGTGGAACTTCAGAAATGTCAGTTGGATGCTCGTTTCAGGGATAGCTTTGAGTTACCCTTTTACCCATCCAGTTGTCTTTCTTCTTTGATAGGTCCAGACTTTCACCGCATCACCCAAAATCGAAAAGGAGTCCGAACATGACGGGTATTTTTTCCGTAGTTCCTTTGCCTCATCTTGCAGGGAGCGGGTGATCAACTACTTGAAACAGAAGAAGTTTGAGACCATGGATGTCAATGCAGAAGCTTTGGTACAGAAGTTCTTTGCGATGTGATGTGTGATACCCCCTAAAGCCCCCTGTGCAAGCCAACATGGACCCATGTCACTCTTGGTTCATCTAGAATGTATTTTGCCCGCGTGTCGGTTGGGATTGTTTTGGTGAGCTTATACAACGGGGCAGACCCAGTGTCGCCCGCTTCCTAAAATCCTAGCGAAACAACCAAGACAATATGGGGGATACCAGGCCGCTTAAAGATTCTGATGCGTTCATAGTCATTTGGTATTGTGATTCCTCTTCTATTGACAAATGTCTCTGTCTTGGCCCTCTGGACCGTCAAAGTTGCTGTATATAGGTCTAGAGTGCATCCTCGCATGAAAGTGAATGCAATGGACTGAACAGCGAAAGGAAAGAGACTGGCAGTGACTTGTAAGATTCTTGCAGATCCGGGAGCGCTTCGTACAGAAGTTGCACTCCTGTCACGGTGACATGTTGCAGAAAGTTTCCAACATCGCCCCCCCCAGCAGTACATTCTCTTGATGAATGCTGGAAACAATGGAACCCTTCTTGTCCATCGTCACTTACGATACACAGGATCCACATGATGTCGTTCTTGTCCATCAGTCTTTGGTTGCCCTGCCCACTACAAGTGGCCACGTTCCACTCGGACTCACGTTCGGCAGTGGCGGTCCCCCCCCCCCTTTTTATTTTTTTCGGAAAATCGGTCTCCCAAGCAGCCATTCTCCACTTCCATGTTCGCGAGTCGTTTTTCGATGTACTGCGACCGGTTTCGAGTCGCACGGATCGAGGAAAAGAAGAGCGGATTCTTCTGCTTCCGTGGAGAGCCCAGAGCGTCGGACGTTACCGGGGTACTCAGAGCAGGCAAAGATTCTAGGCGATTTTGGGCTGCACAACATGTGTGAATCAACATTCTCTTGGCGGTGACATGGGAGAATGCGTGGTTTCTCTATATAAGTCGGAAGAGCAGATGAAGAGCACCAGTGCTTTCTCATCCTGAGACGAAAGAAACAACGACCAAACGACGACATGGACGACCTGGATTTTCAGCACCGCTCTTGGAGGTTCCTACCCGCTCTTGGAGGCCGCGCGCGAGAAGGATTGGTCCATGATTTGCCTCCTGTGGCTTGATGTGAACCGAAAGGGCCGGGCGAAAGAGTCCGAAATTGGATTTGAATACTTGTTGGGCCGGGAGTGAGTGGGGTCTTGGTCTTTGTCACAGGAGCAGTGTTTCGGGGTCAGCTGAATCCCAGGAGAAGTTCTGGCTTATCAGTTGTCCACGCTACCAATTGACTATAGTTGACTCAATTTCTGTACTTTCCATGGCAGCTCTGAACCTTAGCCACGATACAGTCGCATCCTTGTCCAGCCAACCCTCCAGACCTTACCCTTGGGCTCTATCTCCTTTGACTTCTCCCTCAACCCGCACACAATGAAAGCCTATATAGGGGTAAACTTCATAAAATGATGCTCCATCAGGACGACACAGCTTGCTTTCATTTCTCTCTTTTCCCTTCAGTGCCCACCTCTCCGCTTTCATTTCGTCTCAATTTCCATCACTTTCTCCCACGCACCCAGGGTCACATGTGGTCCCTCAGTCCACACACCGAGCCCCCACGAGTTTAGCCAGTTTCCTGAGGCTCTACTTTGGAGCAGACCCCAGTTGCCGAGATAGCCGAGGATCGCCCGGACCGAGACACCGAGAAACCGGTTTCGCTCGGCTTTGCCGTTCACGCGTTCGACGACGAAACGGGTTCACCCGCTCGCGCCGAACGGAACAAAAGCCGCCGTTCTCCGGCGGTTTGGCGGAAGAAACGGCACCTGCAGTCACTGCAGTCTGTTGGAAGTCAGGTTTTGTGAGGTCATTGGTGGGTAGACTGGAAGGGAAGGATTGGTACTGGGAGCACCATCAGCGACGCAGCTACTCCTTCTTGGGGTTCGGGGAGCTGGCCGTTCTTCTTTGGAAGGCATTGAAGGGCATTTCAAGTGCCGTGGCTCTCGACCCAAGGCGATGTCATTTGAGGCCAGAGTTTCCCAAAAACCCGAATCACCCAGTAGCTTGGAGGTTCCTTCTGCCAGGAAGGACAGTCTTCGACTATGTCAAGAGTGAGGCATTGAAGCAGAAGGCCTGGGGTAAACTGATCTCACGTCAAACCAAGCCACACCTTGAGAAGAGACACTTGGATTGAACTCACCCTGGTGTTTCACCCATAGTCAGGTGTTTCACCACCTTGAGGACGGGGTGAAGAACGACCGGTCGGGTCTTGAACGACACCGGTCCCCGATCGGGTTCCACGGAACCTGGCGACGCGACGCCGGCGGACCGACCTGGCGGGACGAGCTGCACGCAAGATGGGACCCAAAGCGCTGAGAACCACGTCTGGAGAGCGAGAGTTCGTTCGTTCCATGGCAGAGCTTGCGGCGAAGCCCGGTTTCGGAGTCCACCACATCGAACATGGTGTACTGTTGGTACGCAAGTCGGGTACAGATCCTTAGGACGCCACGCCAAGGGCAGGGAATCATCGGCTGCGCTCCGCTAGGTCCACTCCTTACACGCCAAGAGCCGCACCCGCGCGAAGGCGTTCGGGCGGGCACCAGGGTGCCAGGGCGGGCAGGGCGGGGAGGGCGACAGCGAGGCTGTTCTACAGAAGCGAACGTTGTCAAGGTCATGTAGACTCTTGCTGAAATCCACCCCCAATTGGATTGAACAACCTCATGATATGGGGGGGTTCATTGATCAAGAGTCTGCATACAGCCACCTGACCGGTCAGAATCCTAACTGAATGGCGAGTCGATGGACGCATGGCAGCCATTGGGGCCGCGGTGAGGTTGGCGCGTTTGGGTGACCCAGAATGACATGTGTTCAGCCATTCTGGGTCAACACATGTCATTCGCGTGAGGTTTGCTCATGACTTTCAGCCACTTTCAGGGACCGAACCAGATGTGAGATCGATTGTGAACGATCGTGAACCGATGGGTTGTTTGACCCGGCCAGCGTGTCGCATGTCCTCTGTTGAACCGATTGGCCCATGCTTGGGGGCGTTCCTCCCACGTGTGGTACTTGGGTGGGCTGAGTGTGTTTCCTCGAACCTCTCAGTTGACTCCGCTGTCAGGAGACTTCTTTGACAGGTTCATAGGCCATATGCAGGGATGCCTATCTTCCGCGCGGGACTGCTTGGTGTAGAAGATAGGACCAGGTAGGACCCCGAAGGGGCCGCTTAAGACATCGACCCAGACCGGAAAAGCACCCGCGGGTGGGGCTTTGAGCCGTGGCCATGGAACCATCCAAAGAACCGCCCATCCATGGCGCTGGGAAGAATACATGCTAAGGTTTCGCCCAAATTCTTCAAAGCCTCATTGACCTTGGGTGTTTGTTTTGAGCGGCACAAACCGGAGACAGAACATGATAGGTCAGACCTTTGATCTCGCAGTGTTTGTTTGATGTCAATCCTAAAGAAACCAGTCAAAGAGTCAACCCGCTTCATCAGGCGTAGAATGCCACGTTTTCGGCGTAGAATGCCACATGAAGGCCCTTTGATACGCGACACCCAGCCGCGTCGCCTCTGAAGAAGACGTTGCCTATGACACCCATGGGTTCAACACCTATTTATTCCAAACTGTTCTAAATCGATGTGGCCCCACAAAGTGCCATTGGTTTAAATAGTGACAGTGGTGTTTGAGGCCGGACTTGAATGGATTTGCTTGGAGATCCAACTCCACGTCGTCCGTTTTCGTCCAACGTGCAGTACCGGTCCTAAGGTCTTTGACGTGGTGTGCAGCCACATGGTCGAGACATTGTCATATAGCTCCTGGCCCTTTGAACGAGGTACCCAATTGCTCGCACGAGCAGAGGAGAGGATGAGATGAGACGAACCATCCGATGCGATGGTTTTATGAACGTGTTCTTGCTAGTCGTCGTGGTGAAATCAGTAATCCACAGGAACCTCACGGGGGATGGTATGGATTGATATGGATCTATTTTCTTGAAGATTCCGGTCATCTTCATATTGAATCTCGCCGATCCGTTCTGAATTCGACCCTTGACTCTGCACATCCCAGGTCAAGGTATCAGAGTCACTTGGGGAAGGATTTTGCACCCTGGGGTTGGGGGATCAGCAGTTTGAACCCCGTATTGCAGTGACCCAACATTTGGTCCATTTCTTTTGGGGTGGTTCTTCTTAGGAGCATGCCAAGATGTGATGGTTCCCCCCTGCAAGGAAATTGCCTTGGTCACCTGCGTCACACATCGGGACAGTCTGGTTTTGTGGATCATCTGCTTCCGGGACTTTGATTCCGGACTTTTTATGATCCAACTCTGCGCCCGGTCGCCACTTTTTCGGATTTTTTTTTTTGGTTTAATGATTTCGGTCTCTCTCTCTCTCTATCTCTCTTGTAAAATTCAGCAGCTGTTTGTTTGTCGTTTGTTTGTGCACGTCACTGTATTGTTTTCCTCTGGCAATTGTCCTTAGGCTCAAGGCCTTTGATCCAAGGTGCATTGTATAGCACCAAGCCATTGTTACATGAACACTACGATGGAGTAAGTATGCAATTGTACAAAAGCTTGTATCTTGACACCGTCCCTTGGTTTGATTCATTGTTGAATCACACCATCCATACAAACATTGTTGAAGCCGCAAAGAAACATTATTGTATAAAGTAGTTCAAACATTGTAGGCAAGTCTGTACAGCTCTTCTGCCCTTGTCTCTCCACGGCATTGTTGCCTTTCTCGTCGTTGTGCTCGTAGTGCATTGTCTTTGCCAGAGATCTGCAGATTGTTAAGCCATTGCTCTAGCCCTGTATGTCGTCCATCTGATCTTCTGGAGCTTCCGAAGATTGTCTAGGACGTTTTGTCCCTTTCTCTCCTTCTTCATCTTCAGATTTCTCCATATCAATTGTCCTGTCCCGCTCCTTAATGTAGGAGCTGTGGTCTGGATGACCTCGCTGATGCCTTCTCAGGA